GCCTCGACTGTTATTGTGAGGCCGTCATGTGGCCACATAATAGCATGACGCTGCCAAGAAGCATTAGTGTAACTACTAGTAAAGCGGAAGAATACAAGGCATTTGCTAAAGTCGGTTCTGAATGGAGAAGATTTTTGAAAGCAGGTTCTTATTAAACTAGTCGCAAGTTGAGAGTCAATGTATTTTGAAAAGACCCTAGAATAATTTCTTAGTGACAAATGGCGCTCCTTACCTCTCGAACGGTGTGGGGGCCGATCCAGCATCAAACCTTGCTTAGGATGACCAAACCTTTCATTCTTCTGGGTCAATTGAATGGTACCAGACTTGTCTGGAGCGCCAAAGTCACCGATATGTACTCGTATAACCCCGTAAGCCATTGTATGGACCGTACAGCAATCGGATGCTATTATGATCCTCAAATGGAATCGGAATGTCTAGCTAATCCCAGAATGATCAACACCAAAAGCTTCATCCTTCGAGCGATAAAGTAATTGCGCATTGGTCAATTCGTCAGGGATCCACCACGCACTCGCCCACCACTCCACTCATGCTTTCTGACCTGATCAAATAAAGATTTGGTGTGGATAGGTGATTTGTGAAACCCGCAAATACTGCTGTCCCACCTCATAATTTCATGCCCTCAGTCCTAGCATTTACCTACATACTACCTACAGATCCTCATTTCTACCTACGTACGCCTAGAGGATTTCACTTCCACTAATCGAGAAAGCGAACTGCCTTCCTCCTAACCAAAACATCATTCAGAGTAAATAGGAACTATGAGCGTCTTTTCGCACTGCACCCACATATTATTATACCAACACGAATGATTTCCGGAACAAGGTTAGTTAAACATTTGCGCACTACCCCGAAGGTCAGCCATTCATCTGCCCAAATGAGGAAGTTTCCGGGTTCATTTTAGGGGGATGATCGCATGCCTGAAATCTGCCACACATCACGGCTACCCTGTGGTTTTTCCTGGGCCATCATTGTCCTACGGATAATTTCGCGCTCCAATGGTAATTACAATGGCGCGAGACAAGGATATTTGAACATTTAAAGAGGATTCTACTTTGTAGTTTATTCAGGCTAGACTTTTTTGTTTTATGCTAAATATCTTGAATTGATCTTTATGTCATGATTCATTGAACTCTGTATCTTCACAGATATGATTCCCGACGAGTTGAATGTATCACTAAAGGCAGAGCAAAACTGTAAACTGAATAGCAACGGTTCGCCTAACTTGAATGGAAAAAAGAAGATGTTCAAACCACATGTGGAAGTTCAGCTCAGAAAAGGAGTGTGAGTGCCAGTTTCATTCGAGCATTCGAGAAGGAAAGATTTGCTTGTTGTTAGTGGTCATAGTTTCCATTGTGTACTTGAAGGGCTTTGTTACTTTAAGAGTTTTGGCGAACTTTATCTTTATTTTATCGATTATTCGAAGTGCCTTAGGAAAAGAAGCACATTCACGGGCTTGAGGAAGAATAGGAAATATATAAGATCAAGTACAAGTCTTTTTCTGAAGGTTGTTGATGCTTGGGGCACTTTTCAGAGCAAAGTCGCAAATCGAAGGAAGGATACCTGAGTTGGAAACATTCATCAAAGAGCACAAAAATCTGCGTAATTGGGTTCCGATTAATATGGAGCTATCGAATGATAGTGGTGGTGATAGCAATTCTCTTTCCTGTAGGTTTATGTTCTGAATAGTATTCTTTCAATAGATTGCTTTCAGTGGAGCTTTCAGTAGATTCAGTTGTCTCAAGGGCTGTATTTGCAGCGTTCATTCATGGGATAGTAATTGGTTGTACCAACTTTCCCGACGCTTGTGCCCTCTCATCACTGTTGGAAGATGTAAAAGTGGATGAGCACAATGTTCATTTCTATCGGCTCAATACCGACGGTGCCATGAACCAGGCGCTATCAGGTATTTCACTTCTAAATACTATTGTCACTTTGCATATCGTTTGCCCTAGGGTTTTGTTCCCAGGCATAGGGCAACTGTAGGGAATACGTAGGTTCAACTGTAGAAAAGTACCACTGCAAGTGGTGCGACATTTCATTTCTTTTTTCATGTTTTCTTATTCTTTTCATTTCTTTTTTTTAATTTCGCGAATTTTATTCGGCCATTCTTCATTTAAAATATTTGGACATTCGGTGTGAAACACGCCAGATTCTTCCTGATGATGACCTTTGTCCTAGCCAAGTTCTTACTGAAAGACTGACACTTGTTTCAAGCAGTTCCCATGAAAGCTTCCAAGTTTTCTTCCTTATTCTTCAGAAAGCGTTCAGTTTTAATTCGTTCACTCTCTTCTACAAGTCTAAAGGCACACCTCACAATAAACTTTTAAAGCAGTGCTACTGGAAGTGTGCTCACAATCAGGTGCCAAAGGGGGTATGTGGCATCATTGGACCTGAGGGTGGCTTAGGAAGAGTCTCACAAGGCCCCAAACCCTAACAGCCTCGCTTTTCCATGATAATCTTGATAATCCACCAAGGGTTTGATAGTAGTTCGTTTCTTTCTGCTCTCATGTCTCTGCATTGGTGCTACTCTCTCGACACTCTCTCTTCGATACATTTGAACTATAGGACAATCTCCAAAAACATCTTACTGTTAATTTATCAACATGTGAAAACCGCCACATGTGATGCGCGCGGATGGGCGTGCGGACTAACTGGCTTTGACTATAAACCCTTAGAAATCATCTGCCACGTGAAGAACTATTGGTGTTTTTTTCGGAATTTTCTTTTCTTTTTCCAAATCGTGCCTACAGTGTCATTTTTGAAATACACCTGATTTTTTTGCCATCATGGAATATGTCTTGAAATGCGATTGAACGCTGACTGTCTGATATTGAAAGCTATTTTGTTTGACTAAATGGGATCACCATGATTTCAGTTGACGAAAATTCGGATGACAATGCAGTTGGATCACTTCTTTGGCAATTACCGTGCAGTGAATTTGAAAATTTATGGGAAAATCTGGTCTACGATTCCGACTTGAAGAACGAGGTATTCCATTTTCCTCCACTATCGTAAAGTTTCGAAGGTCAAACTATTTTTGTAAAACGTTTTAGCTCATGTACCTATGTACAGCTTTAATACAGCTATCTTGATAACTTGCGAATGAAAGATAAATCTGATCAATGTTAATCGTTCATCATTATGCTCGGCGTTGCATATTTGTAATTCACTTCTTTTCCAGCAGCTTGATCTTCAAAATAAGCGTCCGCCCGGTATGGCAAGACGTCACTTTGCCGTGGAGTAGCGCAGCACCTGTCCATTCGACTTAACTCTCGATATTCTAGTTCTGTTATGGTGGAAATCAACAGCCATAGTTTGTTTTCTAAGTGGTTCTCTGAGGTATCCGTAATTCTATATCTACATTTAATCTATCTTTATCTACATGTGTAGAATAGAATTTCTTTCATTCATACGTAGTAATTACCTTTAACTCGAAGACAGACCCCACTGCGGGTAACGTGATTAGCAAAGCAGGGTCTCGTTGTGAAAACGCAATTGTTAAGCGTTCTGTTATTGAAAAAGAAAAAACTAAGTAACAACCGAAACCTTGGCTCAATTCTATTTACAATTGATTTCGAGCGTTCTTTAACCCATTCGTGACAATGTCAGCCACCGGTGGCTGACAAAGCTCTCACTCGGGACAATGGTATTACTGTGGCTGCAGGGCTTGAAATGGAATTTGGAAAGTTTTCTTCCATGGAAAGAATCTTCATACCCTCGCTCATCTACGCCAGCCCTGGGCAGAGGAAATCTCCCTCCACTCGAATTTTATTGAAGAAAAATCTTCTGACGCTGCTGCTATTGCGCAATCCTGCGCGGTCGCGAATGGGTTAAGCTCCCGGGGGAGAAAGTTAGGGCACGATAGTGTGTGGCCCCCCGGGCGGGGCGGGCGCGGGCCGGCGCGCCGCGGCGCGCCGGCCCGCGGGGCGGGGCTGCCCCCGGCTACGGCAGCAGCAAAAAAAAAATCAGCACTCATGGATGTACGTCAGCTGCATTAAGTCAATGGTCGAATGTTAGGCACCGGCCATCGAAGGGTGCTCTAGTTTCTTCTTACCTTTAAAGTCCACAATGTCTTAACTAATGGAGTTGTTCCAGCACTAGCCGATTAATGGGCTTTTAATCTGTCGAGTGGTGTATTTGCTTGAGAGGTCGTCACTTACCAGGAAAGGCATTCAACTTCCCATGGAACTTTGAGATGAGACCCAGATATATCGATAGAGCTTCAAACGCTGATTACAAATATGGAAACTAAAACTGCAAAATGAACCTGCCAAGGAAGTTGTGAGCAGTCAAAGTTGGCTGGAAGTAAAGCATTACACTAGCCTCCGGGCTTTCAGAGCCTCCGCGGAGCAGTGGTGGTGCCCTCGCTATTCACCCTGGGGGTCATAAGCTCTCCTCCCGTCGGAGCGCAAATTCCGAGAGCACTACCACTACTCCAAGGCGACTTTGAAAGCCCGGAGGCTAGTGTAATGCTTCACTTCCAGGCCAACTTTGACTGCTCACAACTTCCTTGGCAGGTTCATTTTGCAGTTTTAGTTTCCATATTTGTAATCAGCGTTTGAAGCTCTATCGATATATCTGGGTCTCATCTCAAAGTTCCATGGGAAGTTGAATGCCCTTTCCTGGTTAGTTATGATCGCTATTTGTTCGCGACTACTAATCTGTGCCAAGTTCCCTCCTGTGCCTTCCGATAGTGATCAGGAATGTTATAGAGTGGTAAACTCGTGTTGAAAATGTTCGACCAAATCGATGAATTAGCAGAGGATGACAGATGCATGGTATTTGTACTCATCGATGAGGTAAATTAGTTCAGCTCATGGGATCCTTATTCGACGACCATTTTCAATCCAGTCTTCGTTTAGATTGAATCTCTTGGAATGTCTCGTGATGCATCTACTAGCCGTGTGATCCGGCTGATTCTATTCGTGCCGTGAACGCTTTGCTCACTCAGATCGACAGGATCAGGCGGTAATCTGCCCTACCATTATTCTCAGTTCACTCTATAGCATTGTTTGTTTCAGGAGAACAAATGTGATTGTTCTCTGCACCTCCAATATGGAGGGGTGTCTTGATCGTGCACTACTGGATCGCGCCGATGTCGTCCGACATGTGGGACAACCGTCAGCAAACGCGCTATACTCAATTCTCGCTAAATGTGTTGGCGAACTCATAAGGGTAACCTATTTTCCCCTCCTTGTCTGTAATTTTGAGCGATCATTTCCAGATAGGCCTAGTTGTGTCTGATCAACAGCTACCCTCTATCAGAGAACTTAAGACCGTTGAGTCAGAATGCTCACCAGGGCGAGAACTCATGGAATTGGCCACACTGGCTTTAGGTCTAAGCGGACGATCCATACGACAGGTTCCAGCCCTGGCGTGGTCTAAAGCGGATGAGGTAGGCCAGTTTCTTCCAATTCAGCACTATCTCATGTGAACGCGTATGTGTCCCAGGATACCGTCACCCTGTCTACGTGCCTATCAATTAGTCTAGAGAATGCGATTTTGGGAGAAAACTGAATGCGAATAACCTATCACTCTGTTTCTGCAGTACGGTACATAACGGCGAGTCCTCAATAAATACATTTTCTCGATTGCACGTCGCACAATATAAAGCAGTAAACCGTTTATTACAACTTATCAACATGCGAACCGTACAAATTATCACGTTTCTATTTCAAAATTGCACGTCGCGTAATATCGGAGCTTGTGACTGATTGATACTTCCGTGATCTGATGGCGTTGATTCTGGGCTTTGAGGTGCCACAGGATTCTCGATGCCCTCATATTGGGCGTGAACTACTTTCACACCTCTATACAACACATAGTGTTGTATCATGAAAATAATATCGAAGAATATCGACACTAGTCCCAGTCCAAATTTGACCGGATTTCCGTAGAAAGCAACCCAGTTGTCAGCGTTGACGCACTGTAGCACCATCTGTAGAATGTCTAGTGAGCCGCCAGTGAAGTCCAGAAGTACGTTGCCAATGGACCAGCCAACTGTGCTTTTTCGTTTGAAGTTGAAGTACGTCTAAATTCAAAGCGATGTTGAGAAATATTTTTATCACCTCAAAATCAAACAATTTTTCTGGTTTTAGGGAAGTGTTATATGAATGTTCAAGAAACGTCCACAAAAAGCCTGGTCCTTTCGTCTGCTGGCCGTTAGAGGGATACTTTGCGGTGGCTTCACCGATAACTGAACTTGGGTGGTGAGTTTCTATAAGCAGTGAGGGCCACATGAATGACCCACACAATGACACAAGTGGCAAAAGTTGAATTTTTTGAACGCGTACCGAATAGTACCTTCCCCCGGCAATTGATTCAGGGTACTGGTCGAGTATTGAAGAAATTCGTCACCTGAGCGAACTGCAAAAAGTACGAGAGCGCAAGAAGACGAGGAGATGGCGCTCATGCCTATAGAGCGGTTAGCTGAAGTGAGTGGCCACTTCTAGACTAGGCCTTAGGAGCGGGGAAAGACTGGGGCAAACGTATGTAAAGCAAAACCATTGTTTCTCCTTGCTGTCATACCAATCCTGGCTTATAATTTGCATGTCACCACCAGCGTTTTCTTGAATGCCTCCCTAAGGAATGAGTGCCAAGCAGGGTGAATAACGGTAGGGAGGCACACACGACTCGCGGTGGAGCGTGAACGGACCCTGTGTGCCAGAGAGGTGTGCATGTTGCTGTTCACCACTTTCGGCTAATCTATCTATTGTAGGTTTCCGCATTGAGAGGCGTATTGGCCAAAGGAGGCGGGAAGTGCCAATATTTTATCTTATCATCGTACCGTAATTAATGTAGAGTGATGTGTGGTGTGTGGTCGTCGAGAGGTCCACTAGAGTGGGTGTGCATGGGCATTCGGGTGGTGCACTGCAGGATTTGATCTTGCATGGGTTACTTTCTGAGTAACCTTTGGAACTATTAAGATGAATAGCGTACCTGCGGGAAGTACTTGGACAGAGTGACAACCATTTTTATATACGAGAAACAAGCGACGAATTGAAGAATGTTGATGAGACTGAATAGGCTTGCTAATCCTGAACATGCGGCGAAGAGAATCAGCAGTGAAGCCAGCACCATGCATATCTTTGAAATCCGTTGATTGTCGCGCTAAAAGCTTATTTTTAGTAACAACAACATTGGAAAAATGAAATAACTATTCAGAAAGCATACCTCATATATAAAGCATTGCACAGCAGTAACAATACAGGCCATAAAAGCATGTACTGCAAACACGACGTCGTTGAGCAAAACTGGAATCGGGCTTTTCGGGTGTTCCCGTTTATAGCCGGCCTGCAAAGAAATTGCCTTCAAAAGCACCAAAACAAAATTCGGTGGCTCGCTACCTAAACTTTTCCTTTGAAGTGACCCAATATTAGCTCAAACGGATGGGTCCTCTTGGTGAGGTAGGGTAGAACTGTTCACGAATGTCGCAGAAGTCCCTTTTCTCCCGACAAGGAAACTCGCGAAAACGGCCGGTAGGAGTTTTCCAAGACCGCTTCGACCGCTTATTTTTCCGTCCACAGAACTTTGATGTCTCCGCTCTCTCTCTCGTCAGGCTCTCTCTCAGCTCTCCTCTCTCCTTCGTCCTCAATTCCTCCCTGTCCCAGAGCAAACGTGAGCCACCCTTAAATTAGCGTGTTTCAACAATATTTCTCCTTCTTTTCTTACTGCCAGTAATCTTCTAATGCGTTCTTCCTTTAAAAAAAAAAATATTTCATTTTTATTTCTTTTTCTGTGTGAGAAACTATACCAAATTTTTCTAAGGCCTGTTTCTAGCCCCTTCTCCTCAGAAAAGCTTCAGCATATCTTGAAGGAGATAATTGCAATAGGCGAGGTTTGAGGATGGAGGATAGTGTTACCTAATGGAAATGCAGGTGAGGTCTAAGGTGCGATATGTATGCGCGTTCGACAGCGAAGGTATACCCGGGACGGCCGTTAGGCGGGTGTCCCCCAAGAGGCCCAGACGCGGCAAAGGACGAGTCGCAGCGCATACTGTAGCGGTTAGGCGTCAGGTTAAATAGAGTGTACCATACTACGTCTCATATCGCACAGCACGCGCTGCGACTCGTCCTTTGCCGCATCTGCGTCTCTTCCTTCGCCGCGCGATGGGCCTCTTGGGGACACCCCGCGCCACCAACGCGCTTCGGCCCGTCGATTTCTCGGGTTCTAGGCCGTTTTCCGATTTTTCTTCATCCTTGCATCACTGGCCACAGCTCTATCATGATTTCTAGTGGCTATCTTTTCATCGTAAACTCGCCTTGGAATCGAACAATACTGCTCCCATCCTTGACGTTCTTCTGCACAACTCTTGTGCTACTCCAGTTCTTGCGACATCGAAAGCGAAACTCGAGTGCAGGCAGCACTGAGGTTCCAGAGGTTAGAGTTCTGCGGCCCGTGCAATCCTACCGATTTACGTGGTAATTTTCTGGGCTTTTTTTGTTTCGTCGGTCGCCTCTCATATGTTCTGACACATTACACCTACAGTGTAAGGGAGTTTTCGGTGTTTTTCCCATAAAATAATATGGTCGAGTGAACAGCTCCAGATGATTCAAAATGCACATAAACTTCTTCCCTAAGCTTTCAGGAGATTTGCGGATCGGCAATTCTTCAGCCTCCATAAGAATGATATCGTGAAACAACGTGTTCGAAAACGGACAGAAAAACTGCTGGAGCCTAAGAGGAGCTCACCTGTACATTAGGATCAAAATACATGAAGAGGTTATAGAGACTGTAAGCTGAAAATCCAATAATATTCAGTAGGAGGAAATCAAAATTGAGTCCAGTGACACTGAAAGAAATTTTTCCATTGGAATCTTTTGCAAATTTTCACAAGAAATTTTATCGAATAAATATCTTAAAAAACTGACGACTTACATGAAAACTCACCTTTTTCTTCTGAAGTTTCAAGAAAATCTGAGGATAGAACGACAAGCTCCAAGCGACGAAATACATCCATCCGACAATAATGGTGAACAATTGAATGAGATGCGACTTAATAACAGAAACCCGAACGAAAGCATCGACAATACTGAAAAAAAAAAACAGCGGTCAAAAGTATGTATATGCAAAAAACGGCTTCTCTGCTGGATACGCTTTTGGTTGTAGTCTGTCCAAGGTTTCAGTACATTTATTAGGCTTAAG